GTACTAGGTGTAATGTCCAGGGGTAAGCGTGGTCTATATTATCAGCACTAGGTGTAATGGCAAGGATCAGTGTGGTCTTTATTATCAGCACTATGTGTAATGGTCGCTGTGCCATTTAAAAACATGTATGTGAATTTGCTGTAAGAATTCAGTATGCCACACCACCCATTTAAGAGCGATGACAACACGATATTTCTAACAGATGAAAAAACCATCCCGCTGTGTTGAATGCCGATCTTGACGAATGTCTGCCCAACAGAGGCTGACGATAAAGATACCTGCTTTCTAAACAATTGTGTTTTACATTCTATGGTTCCCCTAGAAAGAGAAACGATGGGGGGTGAGGCTTTTCGTTCAGACACGAAAGGCTTGTAAATATGTCAAACAAATACATAACAAATACATATGTATAGCCAGCCAATGCCACAGACAGAAATCTAGGTCAGGAGATTCGACAACACTGTGATAACAGCAGCTGGATACAACACTCGGTTCAGCGTGAGAGAATCCAATACGATAATGGCTAGAAGAACATGAGACAAAACAGTCAGGGGCGGCAGAAAAAAGTTAACGTGGGCTTGTGGGGGGGGGGGGGTCAAGGGGCGTAGGCTGTGTTAGTTAGTTAATTGTGTATCCTTTACAGGACAATGCAGAACAGACCAAGAATTGTGTGGGTTTTTTTTAAGGCAAATTGACGTCCAGTAGTTTGAAGCTTTGTGTACTTGATTAATACGGATAATAATAATAATGCGGTAAATGGCATATACATATAATAGTATATTTGAAATTATACATGTGTGAGCAACAACAACCAAATACTGTATGCAGTAACTCCCTTCAATGGTGGTTATGAACAGAATTTATTGAGGTCTCGGAATTATGGTTTTAAAGAAGAATACTTGGAATTTCTTGGACAGCAAAAAAGAGCAACCTAGATGTTTTGAAAAAAAGCGAGGGCTTGAAGAAAAGTTATTACAAACATAAGAAGGAGACAGACATAATTTTCCTGGCTACATTATCGTATGATGGAAACTAGAACACACTAGAATACACTGACACGATTCTTGACAGCCTTTCACCGTGGCATGGAGTGATGTCGACACATGAATTGATATGTTGTTAGAAATCACAGGCTGTGGAAAGCGATGATCGTCGACACAAGTCGGCAAGGCACTTGATCATAATAATGATACACAAAAGCTTAAACTAAACTATACATGGCTGGTGGTGGAGAGGTGGTGGTACCTAAAGTTCAAAACGCCCCTGCTCAGAGGTACTGGTTAGTTTCCATAGAAGCAATCATTTCAAAACGTTTTTTCAATCTGATTTCAATGGCGCCCTCTGTCCACATTATTGCACGTATTTGCATGTATACAGTCACTCTAACATAGCTGTCTCCAGCCTTTGTGTATGTATACCTTCACTCTAACACAGCTGTCTCCAGCCTTTGTGTATGTATACCTTCACTCTAACACAGCTGTCTCCAGCCTTTGTGTATGTATACCCTCACTCTAACACAGCTGTCTCTAGCCTTTGTGTATTATACCGTCACTCTAACATAGCTGTCTCTAGCCTTTGTGTATGTATACCTTCACTCTAACCCAGCTATATCCAGCTTTTGTGTAAATATACCGTCACTCTAACACAGCTGTCTCCAGCCTTTGTGCATGTATACCTTCACTCTAGCACAGCTGTCTCCAGCCTTTGTGCACGTATACCTTCACTCTAGCACAGCTGTCTCCAGCCTTTGTTTATGTATACCTTCACTCTAGCACAGCTGTCTCCAGCCTTTGTGCATGTATACCTTCACTCTAGCACAGCTGTCTCCAGCCTTTGTGCACGTATAGTCCCTTTAACACAGCGAACACTCCCCCCCCCCCCACCCACGTATATGTCAAGACACCTAAACCCAAAATTACAAAATATAATCAAAAATATGAATGTGTTCTTAATGTATAATTAGATGGAGGTGTTAAATCATTTAGATTTGTAACAGTAGGACAAACTGCTGATAAAAACAAAAGCGTGCTTGGCTTTTTTCTGTCATGTTATAATCTGCATTTATAATTGGTTCAGCTAACGAAGTCGGGCCCAGGAAGAAAATGATTGGACGCTCATTCATACGTAATGACTTTTCAGACCGCTAGTCTAAGCTTAGTTACAGGGGTGTCAGGTTGTGTTTTGCTATGCATATGTCCGCGGACGTACAGGTACACATTGTGTTTTACTCGCTGCTGTTCTGAGCGATTAGGTATATTCTGGCGTTCTCGGACTTCAGGTACTAAATGAATTTACTTTAGTTGTTAGCGTTGACGGCCGACAAGGAGAGGAGCGTTACCTTTCTGCAGCAACATAGCATCCTACAGCCTGCTGTCTAGCAGGTGCTGCTACCCGCAAAATGTTAACACTTTTGAAACCATGGCACATAGTGAAGTAGACTGAGCCTGTTAGGGAGGGTGGGTGTGGGAGGGGGTGTGAGGGTTAGGGCCAGTATATTCTGGAGTCGTTAAAACCGGTCACATTCTGTAATATAGAGCACGCCTGATCGCCGGTGACAGCATCAACTCAATAAAACCTGACACCCCTGCAGCTTAGACCGTAAGGTCTCAAAGGTTAAAAGGCATTAATGAAGATCCAATCATGGTCTCCCTGGGCTGACTTCGCTTGTTTTAATTTATAATTAAACAGAACAGATTAACAAGCTGATGACCAATTTCACTCTACAAATACTCTAACTTGCAAACAACGAAGAGCTATCTAACCATGCTCTTCATCCGGCTGATCAAAGATAATATTAATCCTGGTATACATTGAATACGTCTAACTTGATCAAAAATACATTATTTATTATCACCACAAACAATACGAGACTTAGACGGTTACGATTCTTAAGCATTCGAAACAAAACAAAAATCGCTTGCTCGTTCGTTAGCTGTGTGTGTGTGTGCGCGCGCGCGCGTGTGTGTGTGTGTGCCTGTATGTGTACGCAGGCAGGCATGTATATGTCACTGTGTCTGCCTGTTGGTCAAGGACACTCATCCTGTGGCAGCTGGGCAGTCAACACAGTGACCCCTCCTGAAACCAACACTAATTGTCATTGTAAGTTTGTCTTCTGGCACGTCATCAATAGAGAATAGAAACAGGAGGAAAAGGATGAAGGATATAGAGTATGCGAAGAATCGAGAGGACTTGATGATGAAGGACAATGCCCCCCCCCCCCCCCATAAAAAAAATAATTAATGTAAACAAACCAAGTAACAATAAAATACCTTACATTTTTTGAATTATAAAAACTGTTTGGTAAGCAAGAAGGCGATGACAGTAGGAAAACAACATCTAAATCTGTATTTACTGCAAGTACATACTCCTTGTCGGTGTGATGCAGACCACATCACTTATCTTGTGGTCTATAAAATATAGGTGTAGCCCTATTTGCCTAAAGGCATGAAAAAGGGTCCTTTACTTTTTTTTTACTTATATACTCCTTGTTTGGCCAATGTAGGTAGGGATGTCAATAGAATCAATGACTGCTGCAGTCCGTCCATTTATCAACCGCTTGTACTGGGTGCCTTTGTGCCGCCACCAGCACGAAAAACTCCCAGTCAATATATGTGTGCCAGTTCAACGTGGCATTGTTAATTTTGCCTTCACAAACAAAACTACACATACATGCACATACACATATAATCGAGTGTCATATCGACAGGCGTGTGCTATCTCATCCTCAAAAGCAGGTTACATCCAACAACGTTCTTGTGCACGCGCGCACTCACACACTTTAGGTCAATTATAATGGAGCTTAGATCCCCACCCTGAATACAACACAAGAAACAGCTACTTGATGCCAACACAAGAAACAGCTACTTGCTGCCAACACAAGAGACAGCTACTTGATGCCAACACAAGAAACAGCTACTTGATGGCAACACAAGAAACAGCTACTTGATGCCAGAGTTTCTGACAGAAGAAGACATGATATGTCAAATTAATACTGGCTTATATATCGTCATGACAGCTCAGTCCTAGCACAGCAACCTCACTGGTGAAATCCTACCAATGTACACCCAATGCTGAGGATACAGATCGAAATAAATGCTTTCATTCTTGTGAATGTTAAGCTTTCATAACAAGCTCTAAGCAGTAAAAGTAGTCGAGGTTTCAACTTCATTGCAATCGGGCCACCACATACATGCTCAGCTCCTGTGCCAGTGAAAATCAAATGGAATGTGCCTCATGGCCCCATTTGAAAAACTGGTAAGCAAACAATTAGTCCCGTCACCATCCAGATATATGCCTGGGCCGTAAATGCATAAGACAGTTGCTACAGGCGCCAAAGCCCGCAGTCGCCACGCTAAATGCAGTTTTGTCACTAACAGAAGTAGCCAGTCACAATAAGTTGGCCAGACACACACAAAATTATCGCAAAGGGTATTTCGTCAACCTAAACGTGAACCGACTAACCACCACACTGAATCCCACAACTGTGCACAAATGAAAGGTATTCCACGTGAAAAACACATCTTGCCGTACTAATCCGAGCACTTAACTCAGTAGCTTATGTAGACTTCCATCTATAGGTGGCAGCTTCACTAGCAAGCCCTGAAGCTAAACATTCTGCCAAGCTAACTCTCCAGCAGAGAGAAAACTTGTCTTACTTGACTCCACCATCCTTATGAAGGCCGTCTACAGAAACTCAATCACAACACGACCTGCAGTAAACATTCCATGTCCTGCTAAATCCTTTTCCTCGAATCTCTTCACATCCAACGGGTCCCTATAAGCTTCGTGCTCACATTATGTTGGTGGACACATGCCTCTTCTAGGAACCAGCCGTGGCGTCTGATACATGACTCCAACAGGAAGAGCCCGCGAGGGAGGGGTGCAAGTTTTCTGTGTCTATTATAGGAAACCCAAAGCTGGAAGAAGACTGGTTAAATAAAAGAATATATGGACGAATAAAATGTAAACCGACAGACTTGTGAAGAAAGAAATGAAAGCAGTCAAGGAGAAGAAAGCAACTCACCGAAAGATGCATTTGGTGGGTAGACGCCAACGACGTAAGTATGGTGATGTGTGTGTACGTGCCGCTGTGTAGGAGGTGAACTCGGGTACTCCCTTTGTTTTTCTTTCACCTTGTCTGAAACAGAGGTTGGAGCGGCAGGACTTGGCGAATTGAGGCGGTCCCCACCCGCGGACTTTGTCGGACCCGGGGAATGTACTCCAGGACTAGGCCGGCCTTTGTCGTGAAGTTCATGTATTTTGTGGACTGGCGGGTATCCGGGAGCAGCCACCATCGAGGGAAGTTCGCCTCTCTGGGGATCTGAGTCTGTAACCTTTCTGTCGGGGTCAACAGTGGACATCCTGTACCCAAGCTGTTCCGGGTGAATGTAGCCCGGTGCCGGACCTGCGGTATAGCCTATGATGTGAGGGTTGAGTGATCTGTACATGGTGTCCAACTGAACGGGTCTGAAGTGTGGGTAGTAGGGGTTGTACGGGAAAGCCGCCCCTGCTCCTGGCAAGGGCGTCACCAACGACATGGGAAGTGAAGATGTCAGCTGAGACTGTAAAGACTGTGGCACAGATGAAACCGTGCTGGTTGGGGGACCATTTAGCGGGCCTGTCTGACCGGCAGCTCGGGATCTAGACACTTCATGTAAAGACCCTATTGCTTTTGGCTGTGTGATTTCTTCCTTGACATCAAAACGTTTAGAATCTGGGGAGTCACGTTTCAGGTCCTGGCGATTTGAATACATATCCTTCCTGAAAGAGTCTGAGTGAGTGTCAGGAGTTGCACGGCCGGGGACGTGCCTAGAAACAACTCCTTGAGACTGTGCTGATGTTATGTGCCCAGTACTTGTCAGCTCAGGAGGTCCTTTGCGTTTCTCTTGCCGCTGACTTTCATACGCCTTGAACTTTTGCTGCTGGTACATCTGTGCCCTGAGGATATCGTTCTGCTGTTTCAGCAGCTGATAGTTGTGCTGGTCTTGCGGTGGTAGACCTGACTGGTGGTGATGCGGTCCCGTGGGCTTTAGTTCTACGTTATCTTTAAGAGTCTGAAGCTTTTCATTGTTTTTATCTCCCTGGCTTGGCCCCTTTGCGTCATTAATTCCTTTCTGTTCCAAGGAGGTGTCTAACACACCAAATCCAGATTTACATTTTCTACCTACCTCACAGTCTAATCCTATCGGATGGCTACCAGAAGGTAATCCTGCTGTGGTTCGACTGGAGCCGTCATCTAGCTTGACGGCACTTTCCTGCTGCAGCAAACGCTTCTGGCCAGCTGCTAACGTCTGCTGAGCCAGCATTGCGTAGGGAGAGTCCAGGGCTGCAGGGTTCAAGCCAGGAAAACTCAACTGATACTGAACTGCTGCTGGTGATATATTATGAAGATGGGCATAATAGTTGATTAACGATTTCTGATGGAGCTCAGAGTCTTGAATGGAACGAGCTTCTTCTTTCTTACCCTGCATGTTGTCGTCAGAACCAGCAGCTCTGGTATCTTCAATGTATTCTGATTTGATTGCTCCCTTAGATAAAGTTGGAGATGCCATGTGAGGGTGAATACCATGAGGCAGATAGTTCTGTGCTGCTCCGTAATAAAACATATTGTTATAATGCTGCGAAAGAGGATGGCCATCAGCAGTTAAATGTGGGGGGCCAATGAGGTGGTCATCCAACTTCATTGATGGATCTTTCTTTGGGCTATCCTGCTGGACAGGAGACCTACTGTCATTGGCATCAGATATATCCGAGTAAGCAGGACTGTGGACGTCCTCGCTAATGGTACTTTTGTTGTCCATATGCGATGAGACTGCTAAAGAAGATGGTGGAATTACCAAACGAGGTCCGCTCGAATGAGCAGTGTCTGAATAAGGAGAATGTCGTGCAGGAGAGTCTACACAAAGATGGAATGGTGACTGTGAAATGTCACTTGTGGGGCTGCAAGTATCAAAAGGTTTGGACGGAGTTGAATTCCTGATCACTGCCGATCTGTCAATTTTATATACATCATCCTGAGTGATCAGCTCTGACAGTGTGTTACTGAGTTCCCTGGTGGGTGTTTGAACTTTCAATGTAGGTTTCTGGTGACTAGAAACAATGTTTCCTGAACTGTCTTTTTCCTTCTTCTTCTTCACCTTTCTAGATTTCTCCCGGCTGAGGTCACTCAATGCTGGGCTGACCACAGAGTAGTCCCCCATGATAGTTGGCTTGGGCTGTATTGGTTTCAGTGGAGGTCCATGAGCGTGAGGCGATGACTGCGAAGTGGAATTCTGCAGGTGAGGACTCGGCATGCCAGCTGTCTGGGGCAATGGAGCTGGTACAATTGGGCGAACAGATGTAACAGTCTTCAAGAACCCAGAGCCTTTAGATGAGCTCTGCCGGTCAGTAGACAAGGTCATAGCCAGCAGAGCAGTCGCTGCTGTTGTCTGAATGCTGGAGGAAGCTATGACTGGAACTATGTGTGTTGCTCTCACACCTTGTGGGCTATTTGCATGAGAGATGTGAGAGATCCGTGAGACCGCAGACATGGTAATTGCTGAAGACACCTGTTGAACAGGTGACATGACACAAGTTATCACAGGTAAGCTACTGCTGCTGGAACTTGCAACTGTTTGTGGGCTGCCAGCAGCAGTGACAGAAGGCACTAGAGGAACTGTACACGGCAACACCTCCATGGCATGTGTCTCATCTACTTGGGCAACAGAGTCTGTGCTCTGGGATACTAAGATCTCTGGTGAGTTGATATTTGGTTTCACAAAAGTTGCCTCAGATGTAGATACTGTATTGCTGATAGTCACCAGGGAGGCAACACAAGAGCTTAGTTCACTAATACTAACACTGGATTCATCCTCTGTCTTGTCTTTATCTGTACACGCAGTGTCTACCCTATGTGAATTTTGGCCGCTGACCTTGATAGCAATCTCTTTGAGAGGAATGTCATCGTCTAAGGAATCCTTTGAGTCTCTGTCTGAATGTTTCTGCTGTTCGCCTTTTCTCAACTTCTCTTTAGCCTTCATTCTTTCCGCTCTCTCTGACAAAGTAGTCCTTTCTTTCTTCTTTCGTTCATCTTCATCTTCTTCATCCTCTTCTTCATCTTTAGCATCATCTGTAAGGGAAGACTTTCGATGAGCATGGGTGCGATGGTACCTCAACCCGTTCATATGCTTGTATTTCTTGTGACAGTTTGGTTCGGGACACACAATGAAGTCATCAGGAGTCGGACTTTCCACGCCAGTCAGCCCACGGGAGCAGGAGCGGCTGCGCTTGGACTTGTCACTGTTGGTGTTGTTTGGTGTCGTCTTTCTCTTCATGTTGTTACAGCTGCTGATGTCCGACTTGGCTGGACTGGGAGGCGCTGTGAAACAGCTGCTGCTGCTGTTGACTGTCCCGCGGCGACCTTTCCTCAGCCGCCTTCCTTCTGGAAGTCGTTCGCTGGATTGGGCAGTTGTTCGGCAGTTACGCTTTCCACGCCCTTTTGGAGTTCTGGACTCGAAGTCACTGACTGGGGAATCGCAACCATTGGGCCTGAAAAAAATGACACGAAAGACAAGATAATAAACCATGCTCACTTCTATAAACAAAAAAAGTTAAATATTATTTGAAACATTAAAAGAAGCTCTCTAATTTTTCTTATCAGAAACCGCATTATGTGTGCTACACGTCAGTCCACAGTCCCCAGTCTCGTGTACTGATCATCTTTCACTGACATCTTTCCCATACCATGATGCAAGATTGTCTTTTTCCCACCCCTCGCCTGTCTCACCTCCCCATCACCCTTTCCTCTTTCACACCTCTCATATGTCTTCCTTTCCATCTTGTGTACTGTCACAGAATGTTTGTTTTCATATTCTATCTTTGTGTAAGTTTCTTTAAAGACGTCCTTCAGCTTGTCATCTGTAAGTGATGTTTTCAATACACAGGGTTATTCAAAATGATAGATACATTTTCATTCATAAACATTTCCTTGAAAATACACTACATATTAACCCGCGTGTGGGGAAAACAAGAATAGACCCACTGCCTCCCCAAAAGCATGTCGTAAGAGACGACTAATTGGGGAGCTTTCTTTGAAGTCGGAGTGCATCTGCCAAAGAGGCAAGGAACCAACAGTCTGTATTCAAGAGAATGAGATCTGTAAAACTGATGCACAAGCAACACTCAGGTTCTGGAACAAGACTGCAGTTCAGTAGTGGACGAGCAACCAGAACTTTCCGCCAGAGTGTACAGCTGGTGAACGCCAAGAAGAAGAAAGAAGAAGAAGACTACATATTAAAAATATTGTACTTCTACAACCTTCCGCTTTGTTTATGGTTTACATACAAACAGAGATGGCTCAGAATGGCGGTCAAGACCCCTTTTCATTTGACAAAATTATATCATACATAATATTACTCTTGTGTGGGCCCCTTTGGTGGGGGTGGTGAGGGGGGGGGGCGACTGCCCCGTAACAAGCATATGGTAAACGGCGTCTAACAAGAGTATGTTCTAAGTTTGGGTGCATCTACATGAGAGGTGAGCAACAAACAGCCTGCTAACTAAGGCAGACCTGTAAAACGGATGTACACACAAAACATAAGTTCTAGAACAAGACCAAAGTCGAGAAGTGGACGAACAAGTATAAACTTTTCGCAGAGTTCACAGAATGACAATCTGTTGCTGCTGAACGTGTTTCAGCCAGTGCTAGCTTACAGCAGTTTTCTCATCAGTCCTGAAACTACATTATATTATTCCTTACGTCCTTTTTAGGACGTAATTTTTTGTTATTTGAAGCCCCACTCTGGCTTTTGCCAGAGGCCGCAATATAGGCAGGCCATAAATATGGCCAATTGTCTGAATGCGGTTTCTTGGACCTCTCCGCGGTGATCCTCATCCACATGGTGGCACTTTGTGTCATTGGGTGTTTATTGCTTGTGTGATGTCCTAGTGGGGTAGAAAGTCATTCAGTCAGTCAGTCCTGAAACAACACACAATTTCACTACAATCTCACCCAAACACAATCATGATTTCTCTAAATCTTGCCCAAACACAATCATGATATTTCTACAATCTTGACCAAAACACAACCATAATATCACTACAATCTTGCCCAAACACAATGACGATTTAACTACAATTTTGCCTAAACACATCATAATTTCACTACAATCTTGCCCAAACACAATGACGATTTAACTACAATTTTGCCTAAACACATCATAATTTCACTACAATCTTGCCCAAACACAATCATGATTTCACTACAATCTTGCCCAAACATAATCATGATTTCACTACAATCCTGCCCAAATACAATCATGATTTCAATACAGTCTTGCCCAAACACAATCATGACAGCAGGTGTAACCACAAACAGTGCGGTCCTGGACAACTAGCAAGCTCATTGCTCACCATCTCCTCAGTGAAAAATAAAGGATCTTTTTTCATGAGTATTGAACCTATAAGGCTGGACCTATGGACTAACGTGCACTTGGTGGATTATATGGTCAGCATAACGCCGGCCGCCTTTACTTCCCATAACTTTTACCTGGTCGACATATGAGCCAAGGTCATTGTTTAAAGGGAAAAATATCCAGCACTCCAGCACCATCCGGATTTGAACCCACGACCTTCGAATCCACAGGCAAACGTCTAACCGCTACAGCACGCCGACGCCCAAACACTGTGTGTCGGGTTATAGAACAACAACTACAAAATGGATATTTAATCCCAGTTGGCCACAACCCGTTTGCCACATGTAAATACCTGGCCAATCTCCCAGTCCCCGTGTTTGAAAGCCGGCAGTATACGTGCCGATAAATGGCTCTTCTGTTTATCATAGTTAACATCTCAACAGTAATTTATGATCCGTTTTGTAAACCTCTTTCAGTCCCAAGCAGAACACTATGTGTGATCAGCTGCTGCCCGTGTGTATCAAGCAACCAACAATGTGATCTTACGTTCAAAAAGGTAAAGTCGGGGGATGTGAACCAGAGTCATTGTGAACCAGAGCCATTGAACATGGTTATAAACCATAAGTGCTCTGCCACCAGTACAGACAGCTGATAAAAAACTGTCCGCCTGTGTCGCCGTTCGCACGTATCTCCGTAGCTAGAGCGACGTTCCTCTATTTACCCCAGTGTGTTAACTCTGGTACCCATTTCTTAGAGGCGGGGCGAACCCCGGAAACCGCCCGGTTTCGAACACCGTCCGTGGGCTGCAGGGAGTCGCAGCTGGATTTCAAAGCGAGTCTCCTATCAACTGCGCTAACGCGGCCTGTCAGGTTCCATTGAATCAATGATGGCTGTGTTGTTTTGTTTATTTACTCAACTCAATGAGTGCTCAACATCTCACGGCGTTTGTATGTTGCCTACTGCTTACACAATACACTGCTGTGAACTACACGTGAGATGGTGCATTTACCGGCTGTATGGTTCATCAGCGCCTCTCCCCTGCACCCGGTCGGAAACAAAGAGCGGTATTCAGACAGCAATCACCAGGGACGATATACAGAACATTACAACAGAGTATGGCAATTCAACTAGCGGCGCGCTTGCCACATTTGGCTCGTTGATCGCACATCAAGTGGCCAGTGGAGGCACATCAAGTGGCCAGTGGAGGCACATCAAGTGTCCAGTGGATCGCTGCTTGTGGTATTGTAGTATTGATATATTTTGGGGCTTATTCCTCTGACGATCCTCATGTTCACAATGTTGGTCCATATGTACACAGCTCCATAACCCTGCAGTGATCTTACGTTCAGCCCAAGCATACTACACACACCTCGCCAGTTAGTCTGAAGCCCCAACTAGAAATGTGTGTAGCTACGTCTGCGACAGGTAATCAAATCCGACATTTGTTGTGACTGTTGTTACCTTTCAGAAATCCTGCGATGTCTGATACTTTGTTAATCGTACAGACATGAAAAGAAACACCGCCCACTCTACCTCGTTCAATGATTAAGCAGAATTTTTTTTCAGCGACCCACCTGGCCACAGACAAGACTGGCTTTCACCAAAAATATATGACGATGAAATTGAAAATCTAAGAAACTTCTAGGCTTTGTAATAATTAGCAATGGAGACTGTCTGACAGCAATCAAAATATAAGTATAAAAAGTACTACAGGTGAAAGCGCCACAGGCGCGACGGTTCATGAGTATCAAGATTTAGATGTTTTTGAATTTCTACGTTCGTTGGCTTCCACTTGAGACAGAGAAGGCACTGACAAGGAATGTAGAATTGCAAAAACATCCCAGTTTCGATACTCACGAGCCGTCGCGCTGGTAGGAGAACGTGAAAATAAGAACGAGAAAAGAGACAGCGGTTAAAGTGTTGACAATAAGGAATACATGACACACCCTTAACCGGAGAGGCCATGCGACACGACGATGCATGAATGGGAAGGCAAGTTAATCTCTTTCTGCGGCGGAAAACGTTACCTGAAACCTAAAAGTCAATGTTTAAGTACTATCCCCCCGTGTAGGTTCCGGGGCCCCATTGTGGGAAAAACAAGAATAGACCCACTGCCTCCCCAAAAGCATGTCGTAAGAGACGACTAATTGGGGAGCTTCCTTTGAAGTCGGAGTGCATCTGTCGGAGAGGCAAGGAACCAACAGTCTGTATTCAAGAGAATGAGATCTGTAAAACTGATGCACACGCAACACTCAGGTTCTGGAGCAGGACTGCAGTTCAGTAGTGGACGAGCAACCAGAACCTTCCGCTAGAGTTTACAGCTGGTGAACGCGAAGAAGAAGAAGAAGTACTAGCAAGGAAACCAAAGTTAACATTTTGAGAGCATACATCTTTCCTGTAGCAACATAAGGATGTCAGTCGTGAACTCCCAGTACTGAAGAGAGGGAATACGGGTTTTTGAGATGATATGTAATAGAAATACTCTCAGAACACCAATGACAAAGATTGGAAGAACACTGACACTTAAACAGATGTGCAGATCAAGGAAGATCAGCTAATAACCAGTAACGAAAACCGTCACAGGATGTGACTCCTTGAATTTGAAAGTACATGAGGCAGGAAAGCTGGCGAGAGACACGTTTCTTTTAGGCAGACGACCTGCTAAATGATGATGATGACCTGGATCTTTCTGCGGCCCACGGGATGAAGAACACGGCTGTACCCGTCCTATAAAATAACCCATGTATCCCCAGCCAGACCTTCACTAGACCCATTATTAACAATCACCAGAGATTAAACCTAAAGTAGCGCATCCTCTCACTGAATGCCACACACACTCTACTTTGGTATTTATTTTTTTGAAACCCTGAGTAACCTATTTCGCTGGGAACAGACCACAAAGCTCCTTTTAAACTGCATTCAAAACATGGTCAGAATGAAAGAGCTGGTGAGGGCGAGACTTACATTTTAAACATTCGTCTGCTTAGCTTATCACGAAAACAGGAAACTCTTGAATTCGACAGCAGAAGGGAAATCTTTAAACAGAAAACTGAAGTGTAAAAGGCGCTGCTGTGTCAAGTAAACCAAACTGATAGTGCAGACGCAAATATGCTAGCTGGAGATCGGAGCGTTGGAACTGAATAGCAGGAGGGAAAGGGGGGGGGGGGGGGGTGAAGGAGGAGTGAGAGGAGTTTGAAAAAAGGAAAAAACAAAACAACTGACGAGTGCACAAAAGAAAAAGAAAGAAATCTATGTTTATCACAAACAACTAAAATGTGTAAAAGCGTCCGTTTATTGTTTGTTTGTTTGTATAATTGACGGATCATCATCATGGCTCACGGGTGTAACCTATAAGCGCTCCGTTCTACTTCTGACTCAAACCCTAAGTATCAAGTAACTCAGCACAGGACACGAACTCCGTTGCACCGGCGAGGATCCTGAGATACGTTGGGTAGATTTTTAACTTCAAATTTTGCCCGGCAGAGTCGTAAGGCACCTCTTTTCGATTTCCAACTGCCAAGGAATTTTTTTACGTGCGGAAAAAATACACACGGGCGTCCGATCTTAGAACCCAGAGATCAAGGGAAATTACTAGAAGGCCACGTGAAATAATCACAGCCTTCACCTGGCTTGAACAGGGACCTCCGGCACTCGAGGCGGAAACCATACCTCGAGACCACTCACCCTACCCAAGCGTCGGTTTGACTGTGATAGCAGAATTTCCAAGTAAAAATGCTACCAACATGCATGTCATAACAGGCCAGAATGAAAGGCTGGCGAAAGCCTGGTTACCTTAAGATCAAAATCAAACAAATCACCGGTGGGAAACAAAGAGCGGTATTCTGACAGCAATCACCAGGGACGATAAACAGAACATTACAACAGAGTATGGCAATTCAACTAGCGGCCCGCGTCCCACATTTGGCCCGTGGAGGCACATCAGGTGGCCAGTGGATCACTGTCTGTTGTATTGTATTATTGATATATTTAATTTAGGGCTCATTCCTCTGACGATCCCGTGTTCACAATGTTGGCCCATATGTACACTTGGCTGGATAAGCCTGCAGTAGAGCAAGCAACAGGATGTGTGATTAACTGGCAGCCGGGCCAACAGCAGCCGCAGCCATATGGTATTTAGGCTCGCTTGTGAGCCTCACTGCAGACGCCCAAGACTGAGAGTTGTTTATATGTGACCTCCTTTGTTGCCTGTCAACCCCGTGGCTCTCTCTAAAGGTGTTTAAACAAACACAATATAACACTGGACAGTTTAAAAACAAATCAACAACTGGGGATGTGTTTGTTGTCTGTTTTATTATCCAGAAGCCATGAGTTGTTAACCCTTAGGCTCGGTATTATGGATATCGCAATCTTTCGGCCTTGATTCCATGACAAATACTGTAAATATGGGAGAAATATGGCTTTCCTGCCTACCCCTGGGAGTGAACCCGGACCACATGGAGATCGTCACCCGGGGGGGGGGGGGGGGGGGGGGGCTTCTTTTTTAAAAATATATCCTTATACAAAAGTGGTAAATGTTTCGTTTCGTGAACATACAATTTTTACATTTTCACAACCTGGGGTTTTTTTTTTTTATTTGTTCTTTGTCTATGTATTGCTTGGGTTTTTTGTTCAGCTAAGCTGGGTTTTTCAAAATTTCCTATTGGCAGCCCTGAGTGAGAGAGCCGGGCGGGTATAGTCGGTGTAGTTCACACCGTGTACCGTGTCAGCCGTAAACAACATAACATCGTTGTGAGTTGTGACTCAGTGGGTTAGGTAAATAAACAAAACAACACAGCCATCATTGGGTGATATTCAAGGCAACATCACTAAAATAATATTTGGAATTGATTTAGGGAAAAGGGGGGGGGGGAGATAGGAGCGAGAGAGATAATGAGTGAGAGGGATAGATAGATAATGCGTGAGAGGGATAGATATAGTGAGAGAGAGAGAGAGGATTATATGTTGGAAAAATCAAGGAAACGAATTTCTCTTCATACTGGCGGTGTCATCCATGTGTATATCTATAAAAGCAGTATGGAACTGAAGAGGCACTCTCACAACCCCACCCACACTGGACTAGAAGTGACACTCTTACAACCCCACCCACACTGGACTAGAGGTGACACTCTCACAACCCCACCCACATTGGACTAGAGGTGACACTCTCACAACCCCACCCACACTGGACTAGAGGTGACACTCTCACAACCCCACCCACACTGGACTAGAGGTGACACTCTCACAGCCCCACCCACACTGGACTAGAGGTGACACTCTCACAGCCCCACCCACACTGGACTAGAGGTGACACTCTCACAGCCCCACCCACACTGGACTAGAGGTGACACTCTCACAAGCCCACCCACACTGGACTAGAGGTGACACTCTCACAGCCGACCCATAGTGGACCAGAGGTGACTTCCTAACCGCCTTGTGGTGCCCCAATATAAATGTGCTGTATGGATCTATGGTTGAAGAAGTTTGCTGTATGGATCTATGGTTGAAGAAGTGTGCCTGTATGGATCTATGGTTGAAGAAGTTTGCCTGTATGGATCTATGGTTGAAGAAGTTTGCCTGTATGGATCTATGGTTGAAGAAGTTTGCCTGTATGGATCTATGGTTGAAGAAGTTTGCTGTATGGATCTATGGTTGAAGAAGTTTGCTGTATGGATCTATGGTTGAAGAAGTTTGCTGTATGGATCTATGGTTGAAGAAGTTTGCTGTATGGATCAATGGTTGAAGAAGTTTGCTGTATGGATCTATGGCTGAAGAAGTTTGCTGTATGGATCTATGGTTGAAGAAGTTTGCTGTATGAATCTATGGTTGAAGAAGTTTGCTGTATGGATCTATGGTTGAAGAAGTTTGCTGTATGGATCTATGGTTGAAGAAGTTTGCTGTATGGATCAATGGTTGAAGAAGTTTGCTGTATGGATCTATGGTTGAAGAAGTTTGCTGTATGGATCTATGGTTGAAGAAGTTGCTGTATGGATCTATGGTTGAAGAAGTTTGCCTGTATGGATCTATGGTTGAAGAAGTTTGCCTGTATGGATCTATGGTTGAAGAAGTTTGCTGTATGGATCTATGGTTGAAGAAGTTTGCCTGTATGGATCTATGGTTGAAGAAGTTTGCTGTATGGATCTATGGTTGAAGAAGTTTGCCTGTATGGATCTATGGTTGAAGAAGTTTGCCTGTATGGATCTATGGTTGAAGAAGTTTGCCTGTATGGATCTATGGTTGAAGAAGTTTGCTGTATGGATCTATGGTTGAAGAAGGTTTCTGTGATTTTTGGCTGTTTGATTCTCACCCTTGAGGTGTTTATTCCACAGAATACAAATCTAAAGGGGCAACGTAAACAATTGAGCTCTCTATGGCTCAACAATGAACTGGGATCTGTATGGGGCTATGGAGATCGTTTGACGGCGTCAATCATTCAGGGACTACAAGCGGCGACTTCAACAGACGGCAAACCATGCCAGTCTGGAAGGAGTGTGGGCGGGGGTGCAGGGTGTCATTAGTGGAGTAGATCCATCAAGCATGATCTGGGGCTAAATAATGGCACATGCAAGTGTACAGAGAACACCCAGTAGGTTAATGACACAGGTGGGTAGTTGGGAAATGGTGCAGGTTAATGACACAGGTGTGTAGTTGGGAAATGGTGTAGGTTAATGACACAGGTGGGTAGTTGGGAAATGGTGTAGGTTAATGACACAGCCATGTAGTTGGGAAATGGTGCAGGTTAATGACACAGGTGTGTAGTTGGGAAATGGTGTAGGTTAATGACACAGGTGGGTAGTTGGGAAATGGTGTAGGTTAATGACACAGCCGTGTAGTTGGGAAATGGTGCAGGTTAATGACACAGGTGTGTTGTTGGGAAATGGTGTAGGTTAATGACACAGGTGTGTAGTTGGGAAATGGTGTAGGTTAATGACACAGGTGTGTAGTTGGGAAATGGTGTAGGTTAATGACACAGCCGTGTAGTTGGGAAATGGTGTAGGTTAATGACACAGGTGTGTTGTTGGGAAATGGTGTAGATTAATGACACAGATGTGTTGTTGGGAAATGGTGTAGGTTAATGACACAGGTGTGTTGTTGGGAAATGGTGTAGATTAATGACACAGGTGTGTTGTTGGGAAATGGTGTAGGTTAATGACACAGGTGTGTAGTTGGGAAATGGTGTAGGTTAATGACACAGGTGTGTAGTTGGGAAATGGTGTAGGTTAATGATAGCAAGAACAAAGACCAGGTTAATGAGGACACAGGTGTGTATAGTGAGAACAAAAACTAGGTTAATGAGTACACAGTTGTGTATAGCGAGCACAATGGCTAGGTGTTTCTTGTTTTATTACTGACCATGTCTCAAAAGCATTTAACAGCACCAATGGTTCTATATAGCAATACTCTCACATCATTTTTACTGGTGAGTGACAGAAAAATAGACTGACATGCAAGGGGCTGAAAACTGAAGCGTTTGTGCTAACTGGGGACTCACACTGATACTTCCCTCCTGGGATCACATTTTGTCCACGTTAATGTCTTTTTTTAAAGCCAGTTCATTTTAACAAGATTTTACTGTATATGCGTGCTGACAGATAGACTGATTTGAAAGCAGATACATAGACATATATGCCAGCAGACAGACAGATATGCAAGCAGACAGAAAGATTGCAAGCAGACAGAAAGATATGCCAGCAGACAGACAGATATGCAAGCAGACAGAAAGATTGCAAGCAGACAGAAAGATATGCCAGCAGACAGACAGATATGCAAGCAGACAGAAAGATTGCAAGCAGACAGAAAGATATGCCAGCAGACAGACAGATATGCAAGCAGACAGACAGATATACAAACAGACATACATATATGCAAGCAGACAGGCGGATATACAAGCAGACAGAAAGATATGCTAGTGGACAGACAGATATGCCAGCAGACAGACAGACAGAGACAACTATGCTGGCAGATACAGCCAGACATGCAAGCAGAAACAGGCATGCAAGCTGCCTTACCTTGGTGGTGCCCAGGCGTACCTGGTGGCATCCATCAGTGTGCCCACGTAAGTCTTCCCCCGCCAGGTGACATTCACCACCAGTAAGCCTGCAACAAACAAACAAACACTTCCAGTATTGTACCAGCAAGCCTGCAACAAACAAACAAACACTTCCAGTATTGTATGTATTGAGATATTCTTCTTCTTCTTGGCGTTCACTAGCTGTACACTCTGGTACAAAGTTCTGCTTGTTCATCCAATTCTGGACTTTAGTATTGTTCTATTAATTGTGAGGCTTGGAACATTAGCTCTTTTAATTTTATTGTCCAGACAGCACCATAAAAGAGCCACCTTTTCTGAGGTGATGACAGCACCCATCTCTTCACACCAGCCAGTCACTTTGTCTACAGTTGCCTGTAACTCTTGTCTTGTTGCTTCTCACTACCCTGCCTATATGCAAGAACATCATCAGCAAATGTCAGTATCCTTCCAACTCGTGGTGCGTCAAGTTCAAAATCTTATTTGCATGTACACTAAAGAGCATTGGTGAAATTGTAGTCCCGGGGCGATATTACAACAAATGATTCGTGACAATTCCAACCCAGGTGATGTGATTATCTATATAGATGGCTCTGTGTTGAGGGGCAGACGAAGTGCATGGGGGTTCATAGCAAAAGTGAATGGACGTCGCTTGGTGCAGCAAAGCCTGGCATGTGATATCACAACCTCTAGTTTAAGAATGGAGGTGGAGGCAGTCACTGCTGCTTTTTGCTGGATTGAGAATCAGCTATACACAATAGCCGTAATTGCAACTCACTCATAAGTTATGTTCAGAAAGGTGAAGACAGGCATGCTCCATGAAGAGTGGCAAGCATCGCTTCAGAGGTCCCAGGTAGTTAGCATCCTTTGAATATTTCCTCCAGGTATTGTTAGTGTGTTAGGAAATAAGCACACAGATAGACTTTACAAGTAGGTGGTGAACTGATGTATGACATGCTAAATGTTGTGCAGGCCCTTTGGCAGCGAGTGAACAGTGTGGAGAACTAAACACTTCGTCTTGGGAGAATGGCACTGCAGGAAGTTACCAGGGGATCTGGCCAATGCTCAAGAGAAAGGCTAGACATATGTAGTGTCAGACAGTTACTGGTACCACCAGAACTGGAACGCTTCATTTGCTGCTGAAGATGGGGACGGAGTGTTTATGCTCAAGTGCTATGATGTTGATTCTTAATTTAACATTAAACAATATTGCTCCAGAACACAAGTTTTACGTGCAAATCCATTTCCCAGCTCCGTTTCATTTGTACAGTTTTGAAAGGAAACCCCTAATTATGACATGCTTGTTAGGGTGGCAGTGAGTCTGGCCTCTTCCTTGGAGAACCAAGAGTTTGATCCCAGATATTAGAGAGAATCAGGATATTTAATCTAAAGCAGAAGAGAACAATCATATCAAAGCAATGAATACTTAAACCTAAAATGCAGACAATGAAATAAGCTGAAAAAAACAAAACAGGAGCAATGAAGAAAAGAAGTTGAAGTCGAGAAATTCAAAGATTAAATGGTGAATGCACTGATGATGAAAGAATGAAGAAGTCAACAAGCACCACTTGTCTTCTACATCCTACATTGAATATCTCACAGGTCTGCATGGCAGATGGAACTGAGCAACCACTCACCGTTATCAGTCTCCTTCCAGACGATTCCTTCCAGGCCCACCAAGGTACCTGGCTCACAGGGACCTAAACACTCGGGTTCCGTCACCACACCCACACTACACACATCCACACCCACACTCCGTTTCTGTGGCTGCTGCTGCTGCTGTAGTGAAGGAGATGGTAGTGGTGGCACAATCATGCTTGGTGATGCTGGATGTTGTGGCTGTGGGGACATTGCTGTTTCAAGGCAATCAGCCTGCGGAAGAAATTTAAAAAAAAAATTCATACACTATAAATATAATAGCCATTTCTACAGATAAAGGGAAAAGAACATGCACCAATCTCCAGAACATAGCTTTAGCTGACTTGAGAATATAGAGACATGAACACAGAATATAGAGACATGAACATAGAATATAGAGACATGAACATAGAATATAGAGACATGAACATAGAATATAGAGACATGAACATAGAATATAGAGACAAGAACATAGAATATAGAGACATGAACATAGAATATAGAGACAATAACATAGAATATAGAGACAAGAACATAGAATATAGAGACATGAACATAGAATATAGAGACATGAACATAGAATATAGAGACATGAACATAGAATATAGAGACATGAACATAGAATATAGAGACATGAACATAGAATATAGAGACATGAACATAGAATATAGAGACATGAACATAGAATATAGAGACAATAACATAGAATATAGAGACAAGAACATAGAATATAGAGACATGAACATAGAATATAGAGACATGAACATAGAATATAGAGATATGAACATAGAATATAGAGACATGAACATAGAATATAGAGACATGAACATAGAATATAGAGACATGAACATAGAATATAGAGACATGAACATAGAATATAGAGACATGATCATAGAATACAGAGACATGAACATAGAATCATGAACATAGAATATAGAGACATGAACATAGAAACATGAACATAGAATCATGAACATAGAATATAGAGACATGAACATAGAATATAGAGACATGAACATAGAATATAGAGACATGAACATAGAATATAGAGACATGAACATAGAATATAGAGACATGAACATAGAATATAGAGACATGAACATAGAATATAGAGACATGAACATAGATTATAGAGATATGAACATAGAATATAGAGATATGAACACAGAATATAGAGATATGAACATAGAATATAGAGATATGAACATAGAATATAGAGACATGAACATAGAATATAGAGACATGAACATAGAATATAGAGACATGAACATAGAATATAGAGACATGAACATAGAATATAGAGACATGAACATAGAATATAGAGACATGAACATAGAATATAGAGACATGAACATAGAATATAGAGACATGAACATAGAATATAGAGACATGAACATAGAATATAGAGACATGAACATAGAATATAGAGACATGAACATAGAATATAGAGACATGAACATAGATTATAGAGACATGAACATAGTCCATAGAAAAATGACTGATAAACCTGAGAATAGACATTAGCTGATCTGGGAAAATAGAGACAGGAACCTAGTCTATAGAACATGACATTAGCTGATCTGGGAATATAGCGACAGGAACCTAGTCTATAGAACATGACATTAGCTGATCTGGGAATATAGAGACAGGAACCTAGTCTATAGAACATGACATTAGCTGATCTGGGAATATAGAGACAGGAACATAGTCTATAGAACATGACATTAGCTGATCTGGGAATATAGCGACAGGAACCTAGTCTATAGAACATGACATTAGCTGACATGGGAATATAGCGACAGGAACATAGTCTATAGAACATGACATTAGCTGATCTGGGAATATTGCGACAGGAACCTAGTCTATAGAACATGACATTAGCTGATCTGGGAATATAGCGACAGGAACCTAGTCTATAGAACATGACATTAGCTGATCTGGGAATATAGCGACAGGAACAGTCTATAGAACATGACATTAGCTGATCTTGGAAATATAGAGACAGGAACATAGTCTATAGAACATGACATTAGCTGATCTGGGAATATAGCGACAGGAACCTAGTCTATAGAACATGACATTAGCTGATCTGGGAATATAGAGACAAGAGCATAGTCTATAGAACATGACATTAGCTCACCTGGGAATATAGAGACAAGAGCATAGTCTATAGAACATGACATTAGCTCACCTGGGAATATAGAGACAAGAGCATAGTCTATAGAACATGACATTAGCTCACCTGGGAATATAGAGACAGGAACATAGTCTATAGAACATGACATTAGCTGATCTGGGAATATAGAGACAGGAACATAGTCTATAGAACGTGACATTAGCTCACCTGGGAATATAGAGACAAGAGCATAGTCTATGGAACATGACATTGGCTGATCTGGGAATATAGAGACAAGAGCATAGTCTATAGAACATGACATTGGCTGATCTTGGAATATAGAGACAGGAACATAGTCTATAGAACATGACATTAGCTGATCTGGGAAATATAGAGACAGGAACATAGTCTATAGAACATGACATTAGCTGATCTGGGAATATAGAGACAGGAACATAGTCTATAGAACATGACATTAGCTGATCTGGGAATGCAGAGACAGGAACATAGTCTATAGAACATGACATTGGCTGATCTTGGAATATAGATACAGGAACATAGTCTATAGAACATGACATTAGCTGATCTGGGAATATAGAGACAGAAACATTGTCTACAGAACATGACATTAGCTGACCTGGGAATAAACAGACAGGAGCATAATCTATAGAATATGACTTTAGATGACCTCAGAATAAAGAAACAGCAACATAGTCTATAGAACATGACATTAGCTGATCTGGGAATATAGAGACAGATTGTCTACAGAACATGACATTAGCTGACCTGGGAATAAACAGAAAGGAGCATAATCTATAGAATATGACTTTAGATGACCTCAGAATAAAGAAACAGCAACATTCCATCAGAGAACACTGTGACAAAACATTCATTTTTTTGTTTGATTAATCACAATCTTTTATGTGATTTTTTTTACTGTGCTGTATACTGTCTAACTTTAAAAGTTGTGCTGTCGCCCATGTCTACCTGTTGTTGTCTTCTTTCTCTTAACAATGCTGAAGGATGGGGCTTTTTAGCCAGTCCATTTGTTCACCGTATTTTAGACATTGCACAGGATAAGTTTTCCACGATCACTCTATCTTTCTTGAATTTATCAGATCTTTAAGCATTGCAAGGTTACATATAGATTTCTTGGGGATTTCATTTCCTTTATTCTTCCTGCATCATTTCCTGTATTCTATCACCAGTATGTAGGTACTCTTATCTGTGCACAGGGTAAAGTGTGATCGTACTTCAGTAGGCGCTAGATAAATGGTCTTTACATTTTTCTCATTCCTATGGTGCCATCCCCGAGTGATTCGAGGGCCCTATCTGGGGTGCAGGAGGGAGGGGAGGTGGGCGGGAGGGGGGGGGGTGGACCCACTGCCGCTCTAACACGAATGTCATAAACACTAATTCATGAGCTTCCTTCAAAGTTGAAGTACATTTTTCTGAGTCAAGGAATCAACACTCTGCACACAAATAAGCCAAATCTGTAAAACGGATGTGCAGGAGTAATTCAGATTCCAGAATAGGATTACAGTTCAGAGGTGGAAGAACAACTAGACTCTCCCTCCGCCGAAGTCAACATCGCGGGAAAGCCAAGAATCTAGCTGGGATATTTATAGTTGTGTGACAGTGCCGACACCCCCCCCCCCCCCCTTTTTTCGGTTTAAGGAAATAAAGAACAAAACTAATAAACATTGTTGAACACAACGCATGCTGACGGAACAACCCCTTCCCCCCCCCCCCCCTAGTTTATGGCTCAATAGTTACAGGTTCCTTCTCTGTGTCAGTTACAAGCTGGTCACCGAGATGGACACCCAGATCCTGTTGTGTGGCTGCTCTGTGTCAGTTACAAGCTGGTCACCGAGATGGACACCCAGATCCTGTTGTGTGGCTGCTGTGTCAGTTACAAGCTGGTCACCGAGATGGACACCCAGATCCTGTTGTGTGGCTGCTCTGTGTCAGTTACAAGCTGGTCACCGAGATGGACACCCAGATCCTGTTGTGTGGCTGCTCTGTGTCAGTTACAAGCTGGTCACCGAGATGGACACCCAGATCCTGTTGTGTGGCTGCTCTGTGTCAGTTACAAGCTGGTCACCGAGATGGACACCCAGATCCTGTTGTGTGGCTGCTCTGTGTCAGTTACAAGCTGGTCACCGAGATGGACACCCAGATCCTGTTGTGTGGCTGCTCTGTGTCAGTTACAAGCTGGTCACCGAGATGGACACCCAGATCCTGTTGTGTGGCTACTCTGAGCGGAATGTCAACGTGACAGGGAAATGATCTGACTCCTCACCTCGTACATTTAAAATCCGCAAATCTGACAAACAACGAGTACGACCTCAACCTAGCGAGCTAAAGTTATTTAACAACGCATAAATTGAAACCACTTAACGACAACAAATCTAACCATTATTGTAAATCAAAGTTCGGCATCAACAACTGGCTTGCTTGACTGGAAGCATAGTTACACACTGCTATTGAATCATTCCACAGTCTAACCTAAGTTACATTCAAAGAACACACTCATTCACAGACTGTTAGTGTCGTGGCTTATGTGACAGCTGCTGGCAAATACTGATTTCCCTTCACTGAAATAATCTAACACGAGCTGATGCGTACACACGGAAACTGCGTGAACTCTGACTTTTAACCCCGTCACGCATGACACCAGTCACCGGTTGCCCTAACTTGTACAGGAAATGGTCACGCTGGGTAACTTCTCAGTGTAGTAACAAACTTGTTTTGGTGTTTGCTTAAGATTAGGCGAGGTAAGATAAAAGTGTGGAGTAGAGCAGCGTTTCTCAAACTATTTTCGTCGCGGCCCCCTAGTCAGGCAGTTGTTTTCGCGACACATCTGCAGTTAAAGCGGTTCGGATACTTAGGAAAAGAAGGAGCTGGGGAAAGGGGGGGGGGGGGGTGTACATTTCATGTTCAGCGGTCTGTAATGCGATAAAGGAGACTGTTTAGATGGATTTTTCATGATTTCCTTGATGTTTATGGAAAGTTCGATTAATGTTACCCTTAAATCACTTAAAGGTTGCGCCTATATCTGTTTTTCTATATAAGCGTACGTTCAGAATGCCAGGTAGCCTTGCCAATTGCATTGTTT